CATTTAGTTCGTACATTTACACATTCGTATTATAATAACATTACATCTCCCTTCTTTTGAGTGAATAACATGTATGCAAAAAAATAAAAACCAAAATCTGAAACACATGTTTGACCTAACAAGACCATTCTCCTACTTAAACATCTACATAGACACAATTACTTTGGGCTTAACAATCCTACCATAACGAGAAATATAAGGAGTGGGATTACATGTAGCAGGGGAGTCATGCTTAGCCTCAGTAGCTGGTTCGGAGATTGGTTCAACAGGATTCGGAAGACTAGTTGCTGTAGTTGGAATGGGAGGTGAGGCAGAAGGTTCTGCGAAATTGACGATATTGGAATCTGATACATCAGGCTCGAACTTTTCTTTTGACTTGATCAGGTGTCGTCTATTTCTCCGGTATACTGCTCCCTCAGTGCTTTTAACTGTGTACGATCTGTCTCCTTCTTCTTTGGTGACTATTCCTTGTTTCCATAGTTTCCCTTCTTGGTACCTTATACTGTCTCCTACTGAAAGCGGTGGTAAAGGCTTAGCACTGCGATCATAGTATCCTTTCTGTTTCTCTCTCTCTGCTACCATCAATTCCTTGACTCTGACTGGCACCTTTGGTTTCAGCTCATCTGGAACTACTGGAAGTATGGACCTCAACTTGCGACTCATCAATAGTTGGGCGGGCGAGTAGCCTAAGCTCAAAGGTGTTGTCCTGTACTCTAGTAGTCCTAGGTTATAATCTTTCCCATCTGCCTTGCTCTTGTCCAAAATTCTTTTGGCAATCTGTACTGTCTTTTCCGCTAGTCCATTGGACTGTGGATACTTTGGACTGGAAGTGACATGGTTAAAGTCATAATCCTGAGCAAATGTGGAGAAATCTTGGCTTGCGTATTGTGGACCATTATCCGATACGACTTTTCGTGGAATACCAAGCCTACTAAACATCTTCTTCATTTTCTCTATAACAGCTTGACTGGTTGTCTTGTGTAGTTTCTCTACTTCAAAGTATCTACTGTAGTAATCAACTACTAAGAGGTACTCCTGGTTGTTCCATGTGAACAAATCTGTAGCTATGGTCTCCCATGGGTAGTCTGGAATATCATGAGTGATCAGTGGCTCCTTGGTGTTCGAGTTTCTTCTCTCTAAGCAAACTCCACATTCCAGAACCATGTTTGTGATGTCTGCTGACATCCTGGGCCAAAATATAATGTCTCTAGCTCTCCTTAAGCATTTTTCCACACCCATGTGACCTATATGTACAGCTTCCATCATCTGGCGTCTTAAGTCTCTTGGTATGATTATCTTGTGACCCTTAAATATAATGCCATCTATCTCTGTCAACTCATCCCTGTGGTTCCAATACTCTAGTGCTTGGGATGGACATTTCTTGCGTTTTTCGGGCCAACCATCATGTATAATGTTCATAAGTATCTTCATCTGTGGGTCAGCTTGGGTTGCTAATCTGACTTCCTCTAATCTTCTATCACTCATCCTTGTACTGGACATAACTGTGTGCACATGTAAGTCCATGCCTGCTGTTAGCTGTGGGTAAGTATCTGGCAAAAACTTGCGTGAAAGTGTATCAGCAATAGGTATGTCCTTGCCTGGGATGTGCGTCAACTTCAGATCATAAGCCTGCAGTTGCAAAAGCATCCTTTGTAGCCTCGCTGGAGCCTGTGCGAGTGGCTTTGCGTGAATGGCAACTAGGGGTTTGTGGTCTGTATGGACCTGGACTTCCCTACCATATAGGTACTGGTGAAATTTCTTGCAGCCGAAGAGGATAGACAACATCTCCTTCTCTATCTGGGCATACTTGATTTCCGCTTGGGTTAGTGACTTTGAAGCAAATGCAACTGGTTTGCCATCCTGCAAAAGTGTTGCTCCGAGCCCAAACTGAGATGCGTCAGTCTCCAACACTACTGGTTTTCCCGGGTCAAAGTATGTAAGCAGAGGTCCAGGTGTTCTGGTTATAAGGTCCTTGACCTTCTGGAATGCCTGGGCCTGTAGTGTATCCCATATAAATTCCGTGTCTTTCAGCAGCAGCTGACGTAACGGGCTGGTGATGTTAGCATGATTTGGTGCGAACTTTGAGAGGTAACTGATCATACCCATGATAGTCTGAAGCTCTGACTTATTGGAAGGGGGCTCCATATCCCTGATAGCAGCTACCTTAGAGGGATCTGGCTTCAATCCATCTGCTGAGAGGATGTGGCCAAAATACTCAACTTCCTGAACTCCCACTTGTAACTTCTCCTTGTTCATCTTGATGCCCACACTCCTGCATTTATCTAACACCTTGATGAGGTTGTCATTGTGCTCCTGTGGGGTCCTGCCGTAAACCAATATGTCATCAACAATGGCAGCAACGCCGGACATTCCTTCGAAGCATTGGTCTATCTTCTGCTGGAAGATGTCTTGTGAGTTCTTCAAGCCAAATGGTAAACGCAGGTAGCGATATCTCCCGAATGGAGTATTGAATGTAGTGAGCAGTGATGATTCACGTGAAAGTCCAACAGTCCAGTAACCAGAGCTGGCATCTAGCTTGGAAAAGTACTTGGCACCTGAGACTTGAGGAAGGATATCATCCAAGGTCCTCATAGGGTAGTGTGGTCTCATAATGGCTTTGTTGAGTTCCATGGGATCCAAACATACTCTAAGCTTTCCTGATGCTGGCTTTGTAGTAACGACTAATGAGTTCACCCATGCTGTTGGTTCTGTCACCTTGGTGATGATTTGCGCTGACTCCATTCTGTCTAACTCTACTTTTAGCTTGTCGCGTAGGGCTACAGGCACCTTGCGCGGGGGGTTGACAACCGGTCTAACATTGGGATCAACCTGAAAAGTACATTCTCCTGCAAACAGACCAATGCCATGAAATACATCTGAGTACTGACTAAGCACATGACTCTTACTGAAGGGCATAACCTTAACAATAGAGTAAGTGAGGTGAACTATGCCTAAATCTTAGCATGCTCGTAAACCTAGAATTGGATGCGAATGTGTCTGTACGACCTGATACTGTATGCTATAGTGCTTACCCTTAAGGTTGCTTTGAAGAACAGAATAGCCTATGGGGTGTACAGAGTGGTCATTATAAGCAAAAAGCTTAATCTTAGATTTGCCTAATGTGTGATAGGGGGCTAAATCAATGTACAAAGATTCCGGCAAAATATTGACTTGAGACCCTGTATCTACTTTGAACCTAACCTCTTTGTGGTTTGGGCCTAGCTTAATGTTAATAAATGCTTGATAATGCTCAACATTGCTATCAACATTGTCAATGTTAAAATCTGAATCTGACTCATGAACAAAATTGCCAATCACATTACATGTATCATGATTAATGTCAACAGATCTCTGTGTATAAGTATTGTCACTTTCACGATTAACATTGTTCATTTCACTGGGCTTCTGCAGACAGTCACTCGAGTTCACATGGTTAATGTCATTTACGGATCGCGAACGACACACACTGGCGAAGTGGTTCCACTTGTGGCAATTGTTGCACCTCTGACCTTGTGCCGGACAAGTATCCTGAGTTCCATGTCGCTTTCCGCACTTTTCGCATGGCTTCGTCTTCGGGGTAGACGGAAACTTTGTCGGAGTCTTTGGCAGAGTGGATCGCGTCTTCGTCTGGTGGGGTGGTCTCCTACCGCTCCTCTCTGCAGGTGAGTGTGTATGGAGTGTAGACTTGGACAATGCTTGTACGTGTACCGATTGCTGTCCCATGAGTTTGAGCTGTTCCTGAGAGTACTCGTATGCCTGAGCTATCTGTACAGCCTTATCTAGGGTGAGTGCCTCGCCAACGTTAATAAGTTTTTCCCGAATTTTTTCTGATTGTATCCCAAACACGATTCTATCTCTTATCATTTCCTCTGCGTCACTAAAGTTGCAGTCCCTTGCTAATAGTTTTAGTTTAGTCACAAACTGATCAAACGTGTTTGTTCCCTGTACTTCATTGTTAAACTTGTATCTGGCGAAGATTGGGTTTAACTTGGGTTGAACGTACCTGAGGAATCTATCATAGTGTGGTTGTAGTTTCTTCATGTCGTCGTTCGAAAATGCTGGAAAAGTGTTGTAAATATCACGACCTTTCTCGCCAATCCACAATAAAAGGTATGAGACTTGTTCTTCTTCATTCTTTTCTTTCAATGGGCCTGCGAAAATCAGCTTCACATGTTGTTCAAACTTTTTCCAGGCTTCACGCAAATTCGAACTAGACCAGTCCATGATCGGTGGGGGAATGCCGCATAATTCCATGATAGCCGTGTCTTACTTGTGAAGGTGGAACTATCCGCCACTTCTGACACCATGTATTGTTTTTGTATTAGTCTTATAATGTGGGTTCCCTGGCTGGATATGCGGATTCACAACTGACAACACGTGTGTACAAAACAGGAAACGTTTATTCAACGACACACATAAAAGTAACTCGTACATCATTTAGTTCGTACATTTACACATTCGTATTATAATAACATTACACCGTCCACAAAGCGTACCGTTCCGTGCATAAAGCGGACCGTACCGTCCACAAAGCGTACCGTTCCGTGCACAAAGCGTACCGTTCCGTGCACAAAGCGAACCGTTCCGTGCACAAAGCGTACCGTACCGTTCACAAAGCGAACCGTTCCGTTCGCAAAGCTTACCGAACCGTACCGTGCAAGTGGTGTAGTAGCACGGTTTAGGGTCTGTAAAACACAAAAAGTAAAGCACTACTCTTCATGCAACTTCCCTTCACTTACAAAACTAACTGTAGTAAATCATGCCTAATCTTATGTTATAATGCATATACATCTAGTCTTAAACTAGGCGATATTTAAATTCATTTTCGTAAATATGATTCTTTTAAAAATGTTGTTTTAATTGGAATAATATCTAGTCCGGCCAATTTTGAACAAGATCCGGATAAGACAAGTTGTCCTGTATATGGTACCAAACCAATCATCTGCCAAAAGCTTTACAGTGTTTGTGTTTGTTGTGAAGAAATACAACACTGAATAGTATTAGTGAGCCTTTATCATCATAACAGTGTCTTTTATCTCTTGACCATCTACCACTGTAGGATACCATGGCCAGACCCAGGACTCCGGGGACCAGGGACCGTTAAGGAAGGCTCGGTAACACATGTTGAACCACCAGCCTCCTCTCCAGTAAGCAGCACAGTTATTATCACTCCACATGTCATTATCCCTGTCTCTGGTGGAGAAGTACATCCCAGACTGATCAACCCAAGAATTACCAGTATCTAACATACTGTCACCTGTGTATGTTAAGAAAATGAAAATTAAAGAAATATGAATATTAGGAATATGACCCCATAAATGTCGGCAAGGAGATATCATTCCTTCTTACAAAATATCATTGTGTTAGTTAATCGATAGGTGATTTGATTGAAAATTTATCCAATGTAACTCTCATCTTCACAAATGGGTAAATGTTGGATAACATGGCTACCTAACTGATTTAAATTCACTCGATACAAATACACTACATGATTACCCATTATGTAGACTGCCCTAAACTATAATATTGGATATAATACTTTCGCACGAAATGCGTTCGAGATATTTAATTTATTACTTGCATATTTTTTACTTATCCATCATAAAAGGAACCATTACATATTTTTAAAAAAAATTATTACAGGTATTTACAGATTAAATAAATTATGAATAAAGTTAAAGTAGGAAAAAGATCTCCTTATAAACATAATTATTAGGGACTGTGATCTTATCAATTTCCAGATATTGAATCCATGACATTATTCGACCTTTTATCACACACAAACGTATTTACTGCTAGCATTTTTGATATCGTTAATATTTTACAAATCTATAAAAATTATATATTCATCCTACTAAGTGTTCTGACAACCCACCTAATGTCCCTTCGGTCGGACCAGCCAGGTAAAGTCTGTAGTTGTCTGTCTCGTTGTTTACAGAGAATTCACCGTACTGTTGGTATAGAGTGGTGCCATTGGTCAGAGTAATGGACACGTATAGAGACGGTCTGTTAATGGTTAATTGATGAATGACGTCATTTCCTAAAATAAAATAGTGAAAGGTTTGGCTTGATCAACTTTCTTGAATAGATCTATTTTAAGTAGGGATTCTTGTCTGGTTTTTCTGATAAAAAAATATTTAAAGTGTATCTGCTATTTTTTTTATTTGTGTTCTGATGATAAGGATTCTTACCATCATGTACATCCAATTTATCTCCGAAACCATTGAGTCAAATTCAGTCGATCAAAGATTTATAAAGGAATATTTATTTAAAAAAATCTTTTATTTTTCCCTCAAGAACCACACAGCCATCACTAGTCATATCTAAATGGAAGCATCCCTTTGTAGTGTAGATTCAAATTTGTTCAAAACAGGACCCCTGGGGTAAATTAGGGCCCAAATTAAACTTCAAACGTATGGAAGAAAAAGCCACAGTCAGTCAATGAATATGCAAGCATTCTTAATTTAGATTCAAGGCAATCAAAATCATATCCCTCCTACCTCCATTTAGGATTAGTTTGGGACCCCTTATGCATTTAAGCTTTTCAATGCTGGATTTTTTTTTTTGCTTTTTCCTAGCCACAGTGCTCAGTTGAGCGATGTGGCCAATAGGTATTATGTTCAATGCTACAATGAAAAATGTTTTTTCCTGTTTAAGGACAGATGATACAAACATTTTTATTTCTTGGAAGTAGACTTAATATCATGTCAAAAGTTTAAAAAAGTGGATAAATATTAGAATGTTTTCTCCTTAGAACTGGAAAGTGAAATAGACCTCAAAAGTAATAGTTATAAATGTCAAGAAATGGACAAATCACACTTTGTAAAGGTTTACAGGTGAAAGCTAATTTAAGAATATGTTACGTTTGTACTAAAATTGTAAAATTAAATTAAGAAAAATATACTGAGCAATACCTCGGGTTAATGAAACAAACTTAGACTTAAGTCGAATTTTCAATCGCCTATAAATATAAAATTTTTATTTATTATGGGATTTATTTCTAAATTTGCAGAAAACAACACGCGTCCGTGAAATAGTAATGAAAAATATTTTAATTATGGTCTCTTGACTTCTACAACATTTTAATAACAATTAAAGAATTTGACGTAAGCTTAAGATGTTTCATGATCCTGGGATCAGGTGAATTTAATTAGGAAAAGCAAAATAGTAAAAGCCAGCATATGTGATAGTACTGATTTTTTGTAATTTTGTTTTTCCTTATGTTTTGTTAATTTATATTTCTCATACAATTTATACAATTTTAGTCTGGTCCGATTTATAGAAAAAACAAAACAGAATATAGAAAAAATCGATAAATAAATCAGAGAAATTTCGAATTTAAAGTAGAAATGACTAATTTTTCTGAGTTAAAATAAAAGTATTAACAATCTTTTATTATTTTCATAGTTGCATTACACTCTGTGAGATATTCACACATTATTTCTCCTTTTTGAACGACATTAAGAGAAAATTAGAAAAATTAGATGTTCGCCATTGTGACTTTTTTAAACTTCATTTTCATGAAGGCCAGCATATTTGGCGGATTCAGCATACTCGAAATAGGTTAAAAAACTATGCTGGACCAAATAATAATTTGTTGCCGTTAAAAGTTATATCAAGCCTTCTTTTCAAAAATCTGGACCAGACTATTTAGCATACTCCATGAAATTGTCCTTATTTGGTGAGCGCTAACATATGCTATATACCGCATATAGTTTCTAAAGGATCTAAAATTAAAAATTGAATATTATTTTTTAGATTATTTCACTTTTTTATCAAATTAAAATGTTTTTTCAAGCAAACAGCAATCTTTATAGCTTGAATAGCTAACAATAACATTATGTAATTTTGCACATGAATGTTAATAAATTATGAATTTCAGAGAAACAAGTATTTGTACTATATACATATAATTTCAAAACAAATGAAGAATCGGTACAGTTTTTGGTATATTTAAAACAACGACAAGCACCAAATCTTAAAAAACTGTTGACCAAGGCCCGTTTTACTACACAGGAGGAAATTCCAACCATTAAAAAAAGCGGAGATCCGAGATGCGGAACGTGTACATATTTAGAAGAGGTGAATAAAATCCAACTTAAATCAGGAATGGAAATTTGAACCAACTCATCTATGAACTGTAAATCGGAAAACGTCATCTACTGTGCCATCTGTCCGACGTGTAAAGAATATTATATTGGACAAACGGGAAAATTTAATGCCATGGTTCGTGTACACAAACAGCAAATTAAAGACCCATGTGTGCGTAATACACCGTGTTGAGAACATTTCGCAAAATGTGGCAAAGGAATATTTAAGATTTTCCCTTTTTATAAACTTCCAAATGAAAACGAAAATTTACGTTTGGCAAAAGAAGACTATTTTATCAACCTCTTTAAACCCAAACTTAATCTTAAAACGGCAAACGATACTATACATTTTATATTTTGAAATTTCATTTGTATAATGTGTGAAAGTTAGTGCAAGATTTGTACATTAACCATTACGCCAAATTAACGCTACCTACATCTATTATGACGTCACAATGAACTTTATGCTTTTGACGTTACCAGGTAACCTACCTGACATTTGTATAATTGCCTGAAGAGCCGAACATGGCGAAAGCGCTTGCAGTAAATGTTTTGTGATATTTTTGGATTTTTACTTAAAAAAAAAAAAAAAAAAAAAAAATATATATATATATATATATATATATATATATATATGAAAATTATATATATATATATAAAGCACAAAGAAATTCACTTTTACATGGATACCCACTTCCGCCCCAGCCCTGGGTTGAACTCTCGACCTTCGGAATCTGTAGCCAGTTTTACTAAAGGTCGTAAGTCAAAACGTAGACGTAAACGTAGACGTATCCGTAACTTATGCCGATTTTGCGTTTTACAAAAGATCGTATCTTACGTTAAGGCGTAGATTTACGTGAAAATCTACGGGTGCCCTATAGCAACCGTAGAGAGGCACGTAGCTTTACAAAAATGGCGTCAGCCTTATTTCTTCGACGAGCACTTCGGAGAGAAGGTGTATTTCGCGACAGAGGTCAACCCCTAGACATGTTGGACGATGTCGACCTTATTTCTAGATACAGATTTCCTAGGAGAGTTTTATTAGAATTGATTGATGGTGTTGATGCCCATTTAGGACCCGTAACGAATAGGTCCCACTCAATTCCTACACAGCTGCAGGTACTTCCATCGCTAATATAAACAATATGGAATTTGATGAAATATTGTCTAATAAGAAAAAAATATGCACCCGTTCATGAAATCATTCGTACTTTCGGAGAGAAAGTTCGACAGTATCTGTTGACAATGTATAAAATTTTCTAGACACGGCATTATAACAATTAAAAAAAAAATGAAATTAGGAACCAAAAAATAGTATAATTCTAAGATTAATAAAAAAATCACATACTTGTAGATGTTAAAATGGTGAAATATGAAATACAAAAAAAAAAAAAATCCTTTCACTCAGAAAAAAATATTGGTTTTGTTTTAATGTAGTGTAAAATGATTTTTAAATGATTTATATTTTGTTTCTTTATAAACACAATATTATTAGGAAAGTATTATCATTAGTAACAATATATAATTTCAGTATGTGCATTAGAAATGGAAATTTTCTAATTTCAACTTCTATCAATCAACTAAACAAGAGGTCTATTGGCCACATCACTCACTTGTCACATGGCTAAGTAAAAACACAAATCAGCTAAGTATTGAATAGTTTACTGGGGGTGGGGGTGGATTTTATACTACTTGAGAATGCCCACTGGCTCATATCAATAGAGCATACATGTGGACGGAACTTAATTTGTCGTTCTTGAAAAGAAAAAAAAGCTATATGAGATGCATTTTTGTAAGTCTTATATTGCTGTTCAAATGTGTTGTGATAAATTTGTATGTAACTTAAACCTTTTAGATCAATTTGACTATTTTAATGCAGAAAAGAGACTTCCATATATACAGTCCAATATACAATTTTATATAAGAAATCATAATTGTACAGGACGACAATAATGTAATTGTGATTAAATCAAAGCTCATAAATAGTTTTTCCATCGCATTCAAATATAAACAACAGACGTTTAATTACATTGTTTTTGTATTTTTCTGTCATTTAAATACTTATTTACAATTTTGCAACAAAATTATCTGAGATCTCAGTTGCAGCTAATATTGATTTAAAGATTATTTTCTTAGATACATACATATATTACTTTGGTAAAAGGTGATCTCCCACCCCCACCCCCTGGTTTATGATTCAAACATAAAATCGATTCTTCACTACATGCGGATGCTTACATGTCATTATCATAAAATATATTTTTTCTGTTCTGGAGAAGATTTCAGATTTAAATTGTATTCTTATGTAAAACGTTGATTAAATACTTGTACATAGGACCATTATTCGGACTTTCAGTTAGGCATGCCATTCTCTACGTTACCTAACCAGCTTCTGAAATTTACACAGCTTTCCTTTCCTATTAATAAACATGTACATGGGATAGAAATTCGCCGAATGTCAACTGGTGTAGTAAATAGCCAATTAAAAGTTCTCTCACAGCACAGGGGTGGGGCATAAGTCGTCTCATCGTTGTCATTAACAATTTAAAGTTCCTGATGTTATTAATTTCTTAACCAATGAAAATCTACTAGTATATATTTGCCATTACGTAGCGCCCAGAATGCCACGCCCTACTGAAAGTCCAAACTAAGGTGAAAATCGTCCTATATTTCCTTATGCATACAGAGTATCGTTATTTAAATCTATCACTGTGTTTCTTGTTTAAAAAAAACAGGTTTTGTGCACACTGCGATACCTAGCTAAGGGAGATTTCTTCTCAGAAGTGGGAGATATACATGGGATTTCAAAATCTTCACTCAGCGTATTCCTCCCTCGAGTGTGCAGAGCTTTAAATCTGTTCTTGGACAACATCATCTTTCCAAGTAACGCACAGATATTAATTAGGATGAAGGAGGAATTCTATGGGATCGCAAGATTTCCGAATGTTGTGGGTGCCATAGACGGTACACTCATTCCTATACGTGGAATGAGTGGAGAGGATGAGCCTATCTTTGTATGCAGGAAGAACTCCCCTGCCTTAAATATACAAGGAGTAGTGAATGCAAAGATGAGGTACATTTATTTCTACAGAGGACTTAAGGCAGTCAGCACGGACAAAAAGACCGTCTTTTCAAATTATATTCATGGGCATATCAGAATCTCAATCTAAAATAATTCAAAACTTTTCCGATAAAGGGCTTGGAAACTACAACTCCGAGTCATTATCCTCTTTGTTTATATGATATATTATTTGTAGATTCATTAACATCAACTGTAGGTTCCCAGGAAGCACACATGATGCCTACATTTTTCAGAATTCAAGTGTTCCTGGGATATTAGAAAATTTACCAGGAGGGGGATGGTTACTGGGGGATTCGGGTTATCCTCTTAAGGATAACCTGATGACCCCATTTGGGAACCCTGCAACATCTGCTGAGGAGCGCTATAATGAGGCCCATTGTAAGACGAGGAATGTGGTGGAGCGTTCATTTGGTGTCCTGAAGGCAAGATTCAGGTTAGTTAATCATTTGCATAAACATGAGTGCATAAATGAATGATACCTTTCATGTTTATAGGTGAAGTACTCTTACTTATAAAGTTTCCATCTTTTTAAAGGTGTTTACACAGCAGCGGAGGATACTTTCCTTTTAAACCAGCAAAATGCTCATTAGTAATAGAGACCTGCATTAAATTGCATAATAAGGCAATTGATGCGAAGATGCCTTTGCGACAAGGTGGTGCTGTAGCAAACCAACAGAATAGTGCTATCTACCATGGAGCAGTCCCATAGACAGCAAGAGACTTGAGACAACAACTGGCATCACGACTTTAATTTTGGGCTAACAGTGCTGTCTAAAAAAAAAAAATAAATATCCAGTAAGACTAATATACGTGTGATTTTTTTTGTGTTTATCTATGTTTGAGGAAAGAATTTAATAGCTACCCTAGTTATACTGGTATAACCTTGGTTGGGGTAGTTTATGTTTTTGACACAAGTCATCATGACATAGGCAACACAGGTTCTATGATACAGTTTATTTCTTTTTTATCCAATCAAATGATGCCTTACCACAAAAATTTGATTATTACTTTATGTACAAATACTGAGGTAATATTAAAATTTCAAAGTTGGTCATTCATTATATCTGGTATGTAGAAAAAGAAGAACATTTATATGGTATGAATATTACCGGGGTGTATTTAAGGAAAACAAGAGGCCCAGGGGCCACAGCGCTCACCTGAGCACATCCGGCTTGAATTTACTCCCCACCCCCTCCAGGCGTTCATCATTTGGAAAAAAAAAATCTACACTAACTGAGGATGATTCCATATAAATATCACTAATCATAGCTTTGAAGTACTGGAAAAAAGGATTTTAAAAGGTTTCCCTATATATCCCTATTTAAAACTTGGGTCGGCCATTTTGGCCCCACCCTTGCCCCGGGGGTCATGATTTAAACAAACTTGAATCTACACTACCTGAGGATAATTCCACATGACTTTCATCTTTCTGGCCCAGTGGTTCTTGAGAAGAAGATTTTTAAAGATTTTTCTTATATATTCCTATGTAAAACTTAGGTCAGCCATTTTGGCCCCACCCTTGCCCCGGGGGTCATGATTTGAAAAAACTTGAATCTACACTACCTGAGGATGATTCCACATGAGTTTCATCTTTCCTGGCCCAGTGGTTGTGGAAATAAAGATTTTTAATATATATCCCTATGTAAAACTTGGGTCGGCCATTTTGGCCCCACCCCACCTTAGCCCTGGGGGTCATGATTTGAACAAACTTGAATCTACACTACCTGAGGATGATTCCACATGAGTTTCATCTTTCCTGGCCCAGTGGTTCTGGAGAAGAAGATTTTTAAAGATTTTTCCTATATATTCCTATGTAAAACTTAGGTCGGGCATTTTGGCCCCACCCTTGCCCCAGGGGGTGATGATTTGAACAAATTTGAATCTACAATACCTGAGGATGCTTCCATATAAATATGACCAAACATGGTTGTTTCTGTTCTCAAGAAGAATAATTTTAAAGATTTTTCCTATATATTCCTATGTAAAACTAGGGTCGGCCATTTTGGCCCCACCCTTGCCCCGGGGGTCATGATTTGAACAAACTCGAATCTACAATACGTGAGGATGATACCACATGAGTTTCATCTTTTCTGGCCCAGTGGTTCTGGAGAAGAAGATTTTTAAAGATTTTTCCTATGTATTCCTATGTAAAACTTGGGTCTGCCATTTTGGCCCCACCCTTGCCCAAGGGGTCATGATTTTGAACAACTTGAATCTACACTACCTGAGGATGATTCCACACGAGTTTCATCTTTCCTGGCCCAGTGGTTCTGGAGAAGAAGATTTTTAAAGATTTTTCCTATATATTCCTATGTAAAACTTGGGTCGGCCATTTTGGCCCCACCCTTGCCCCGGGGGTCATGATTTGAACAAACTCGAATCTACACTACCTGAGGATGATTCCACATGAGTTTCATCTTTCCTGGCCCAGTGGTTCTGGAGAAGAAGATTTTTAAAGATTTTTCCTATATATCCCTATGTAAAACTTGGGTCGGCCATTTTGGCCCCACCCTTGCCCCGGGGGTCATGATTTGAACAAACTTGAATCTATATTACCTGAGGATGATTCCACATGAGTTTCATTTTTCCTGGCCCAGCGGTTCTGGAGAAGAAGATTTTTTAAAAATGCCATTAATTTTTAACAAATTCATGATTATCTCCCCTTGGAAAAGGGCGTGGCCCTTCATTTGAACAAACTTGAATCCCCTTCACCCAAGGATACTTTGTGCCAAGTTTGGTTGAAATTGGCCCAGTGGTTCTTGAGAAGAAGTCGAAAATGTGAAAAGTTTACAGACAGACAGACGGACAGACAGACGGACGAACACACATTTGGTTATATATTGGGTACATCAAGTCCAAGTCCTATTGGATACTGCTTATTGGATACAAAAAAGTGTACACACGAGAGAGCATTATTTGGGTAGTTACTGTTCAAATCTTATTGGATATTAATCCTTGTGTCCGTATTTTATTGGGTTTTTTCTTATTGTTTTTTATTCATTGCAAATTTATTATCTATTTAATATTTGCTGGTAAATTCAGACAAGACTGAAAACCTTTCGTTTTGAACCCATATTTTTGTCAATTTCTGTGATATAGCTCTTTTATTGTAACACCTAACTAATTTGTTCTTAGCAATAATGATATACACCTGTACATTTCAAAATAACTAATATTAAAAATATGAATACCTAAGTGCAAAAAAACTGAATTGTGAAAACACAACTCAACACATCTCAGACTCTGTTCAACCTTTCTTGAATAACAAAAATAAGTATTTGAGGAGAAACCTTTTCGAGTCATGACCAATTAATAATAAGCAAATGCCCATTACATGTTGGGCAGAATGAAGGTATCCAACAAGCATTGGACGGGTGTCCAATACCTGTTGGGTTGTATTATGACGAAGGGATTAAACTACCCAAGAACAATTGAACATGTGTACATTGTCCAATTCTATTTGGGTTTCTTGAATCTCCTCATCAAAATACAACCCAACAGGTAATGGACACCTGTCCAACTCCTCTTGGATATCTACATCCCACCAAACGGGTGATGGACACTTGTTCAATTCTTCTTGGGTTTCTTGAAATGTTTCATCAGAATACCACCCAACAGGTAATGGACATCTGTCCAACTCCTCTTGGATATCTACATCCCACCCAACAGGCAATGGACACTTGTCTAATTCTTGGGTTTCTTGAATTGCATTATCAAAATACAACCCAACAGGTAATGGACACCTGTCCAACTCCTCTTGGATATCTAAATCTCACCCAACAGGTAATGGACACTTGTCCAATTCTTCTTGGGTTTCTTGAATTGTTTCATAAGAATACCATCCAACAGGTAATGGACATCTGTCCAACTCCTCTTGGATATCTTTATCCCACCCAACAGGCAATGGACACTTGTCTAATTCTTGGGTTTCTTGAATTGCATCATCAAAATACAACTCAACAGGTAATGGACACCTGTCCAACTCCTCTTGGATATCTACATCCCACCCAACAGGTTATGGACACTTGTCCAATTCTTCTTGGGTTTCTTGAATTGTTTCATCAGAATACCACCCAACAGGTAATGGCCATCTGTCCAACTCCTCTCGGATATTTTTATCCCACCCAACAGGCAATGGACACTTGTCTAATTCTTGGGTTTCTTGAATTGCATCATCAAAATACAACCCAACAGGTAATGGACACCTGTCCAACTCCTCTTGGATATCTACATCCCACCCAACAGGTAATGGACACTTGTCCAATTCTTCTTGGGTTTCATGAATTGTTTCATCAAAATACCATCCAACAGGTAATGGACATCCGTCCAACTCCTCTTGGATATCTACATCCCACCCAACAGGCAATTGACACTTGTCTAATTCTTAGGTTTCTTGATAATCCCCTCATCACAATACTACCCAACATGTAATGGACACCTGTCCAATTCCTTTTGGATATCTTCATCCCTTCAACAGTATATAAACTAAAAGGTATTGGACATTATTCTTGGGTTACTCAATTTTTTTTTTCATAAGAAAGAAAACCCAATAGGTATTGGACATTGGTTCAACTCTTCTTGGATATTACATCTCAACATTAGAATAAAACCCAACAGGTGATGTTTACCTGTCCAAATCTTCTTGGGTTACCTTATGCCCTTCATTAAAATTGTCAAATTTGTCTTGGATATTTATACTCTTGCATTAGATTGCAAACCCAATAAGTATGACATTTACCTTCCCTAGTTGAATTCAAATTTATCTGCATAAGCATACATAAGTCCAAAACATACGGTATTTAATACTTTAATTCTAACATTCCACATCTGATTCAGTGTACACTTTACAAATGATAGTAAATATATAAATATTTTGTGCCTAAACTATTTGGCTTTTAAAGAATTTTATAACAATGTTTGCAAAATTTAAATTTAAATATTTGAACTTGGAGCAAGTCAATACAGGTAGAGCAAGATGCTGAAAACCATATTGATAAATAGACCACACCCTTGATAAAATATTTGCTTTTAGTTGCTAAAATTGTGTTGAATTATATGGAAAATCTCTATAATCCTGTTTATTACAAATACATGTACAAAGCATATTTTCCCTGCAATAATAAAAATACTTATGAGATGTAAAAGATTGGATTAAATAGTCACCGATGTTAAAAGATATTTCATGATCTCATTAATCTGGTTTGGAAATCACAAACTTAGTTTTGAAGCCGATAAAACAGTGTCGCACCAGAAAACTCAGTTACAAGTACAATGAATGAATTAGTTGTATCAAAACTTTAAAATAATTGATGCACTATGTCCAAATCTTTTTGACAAATTGGGATAAAGATATTAAATCAAATCATCACTGTTATAAGTCTTAGAGCTAGAGAAAAGTCATTACATGCCCAAATTTTACATGTAAGACTTTGATCCTTTATATCAATACATGTCAAAATGGTTTTATTTTTGTTTCTGTTCAATACTTTCTTCTTCAGGGTCTCTCATGGCCTATACTGTATGATACCTCCATTGACCCTGCTCTTTTATATTGCCATATCTTTATCCAGTAGCAGTGGTTATGCTCAGGCAATCTTGGAAATATTCCTCATTTCATGCAACTCCTTCAGTTCTGCCTCTGTCCATTTTATTCATTCTGCATTTAGATAAAGGCATTTCTTTGCCGTATAAAACATGTTTTTCTTGACTACAGCAAGATCACCCTTTATGTTGATCAAACCTAAACAAGAAGTAGAAGTATATTTCTTATTCAGAAATATGTATTGATAGATAAAATGGAAGAAAAACTAAATTCTATCAACTCTTTTTTTTCTTCTATGTCTAAATGCATCTTCATCCTACCCCCATCCGCCATAATTTTATCAAAATGGAATCATTATTCAACACACAAAACGATGTTGCATATTAATTAGACAGTATGTTAGTTTCTGATTGTTAAGAAGGAGATTTTAAAAAAAAAATTACACCTATTCCTTGCAAATTTTAGACTTCTAATGTAACACTATCAGTATATTAGGGGTACATAATCTTCAAAACCAACTCTACACTTAATGATAAAGCTTTCACATTAGTATTGTTTTCAGCCCAATGGTTCTGCTAATGAGGATTTAAAATTGGCCCAAACCTTACTAACTGCTTTGAAATTATATTGACAGGGACAGAGACACACTTGACACTCCATCCCCCCTTCCTGGGGTATGCTTTGCACAAAATTTAATTAGAATTGACTAAGCTGGATAGAAGTTGAAAATATGAAAACTTTCAGTCATACAGATTATGAATAACTTTCAGCACATCAGACATGAAGTAGTGATCCTTAAATAAAATACACCTACAAGATGAAGCTGTTTTATTCCTTTGAAGTATTATCTAGAATTGTTTCTTTTCGTGTATACCACCTCTATCAGAACAAAATGTTATACATGTATTAACATAACCTATGACCGTATAGTACCCAAGTATTTAATTTACAATTAATTAAGTTCTGGAAGTAACCCTCAGATGCCCTTAAAACAAATGATTCTAAACTGGCAAAGGTAAAGGGCATCTGAAGAATTTAAAATAAAATGATAGTACAAACAAGCAAACAGCTAGTGTGCATGAAAACGTTGGCAAACACTAGAAAAAATACTAAGGTACTTTCTCAAACTTAACATAAATACTAAAGAGGCTTTATGTAGTTGTATTACATATACCAAAAGCTTTCCTGCAGTTAAAGGTTAGTTGCCTAGTAGTTATGTAGTATGTACAAGTTTTTCATTCTATCTCTTCTAATTTAAGAAGCGAAAATGTCTCTAAAAATCTTATGGTTGGCATGAAGTATTCCTGTTCATTTTACTGATTACTTACAATCGTCCTATTTCTGAGGGTCATCTTCTGATGGGTGTGTTCTCTTCAATGTTCACAATTGAAGTTCCTCTTTGACCTGTTACATATTGAAAATCCTCAATGAACATAATTATGGTTTTAATTTCCATTGTAATTATTGATTACTTTTATAAAAAAAAAATCTCAACCAATTTATTGTAACATAATACTTAGGAAAATATTTATGCAATATCAATGGAAAAAAGGAATCATTATCTCCAGTTATCCTAAAATCACAAGTAAGCATTAATCATATAAATTCACATACGTAAACCCATTAGCTTTTTGTGCTATTAAATCATAGTCATCGCTGTGCAATAAAGGAAATCAAGTACTAATCCAGAGCTTGGTGGCAATAAAGTTACTATCCCCGAGGAAAAAGTCACAAGCCCAAATATAGAGGCAAAAATTAAAAAGTAACATTGAAAAAAAGTTCATCGTGAAAAAAGTCAGGGTATTAACTACAGATGATTCTTTTTAAAATGAAAGTTTAATTTAATTTTCGCTAGTAAAATTTAATCATATATAAATTAATGATTTAAAAAAATTAAAAAAAGATTTTATATATTCCTTTTCTGGTCATTCACTAGTTCGTCTAATTAAAACGAAGCAAAAATCATTTTGTTTTCATCTTGAATCATTTAAAGCCATATATGGCGTATGTACAATGAAAATTATTTGACTAAAATTATAAGAACTTATTATTTGTATCATTACTTTATATAAACATGATAAAGATAGAAATTTTCCGTAAATTACGAAATCTAAGTCAATTGCGTTATAAAGATATCAAAATTTAATTTGGATTGTCGGAATTTTTTCCGACTTGGAAGAAAATACAAAAGATTTAAATAACACATTACAGAGAGGAAAAAATCGTATTATTAGATAAAACAAGGTGTTCTCCGTACTGTATGAAAAGCTTTAATTTAAATGTATTAACTATATTTCTTTACTTAATTTTGTATTTTTTCAAAAATATATTTTTGATCAGTTACGACATATATGGCTTTAAAAAAAACGCTACATAATTGCATAAAACTTATCATTGAGCTGAAAGTGTGAATGTATATAATTTAATAATGAGATATCTGTGAGTCATATATGTACAAGCAAATATTGCTATATTAAAAAAAAGGAAAGGGGGGAATTCAAATTAGGAAATAAAAGATCGTTTTTAAGTAAATATCTTGTAGTACTGCAAAATGGATGCAGTTGTGGAGATTTATGGATAATATGAGCATGTTGTCTGGAATATTTCGATATTAGGGAATTTAATAGCAAAAAAGAGTGAAAATACCGGTGGTGCTTTGAATGTATTACATGTGTATTTTAAAATTCCTAATAGCCCAAGGGGATTCCTCAGTGCAGAAAACCAAAAGCCCCATCCTCAAAACTGGAAGCCCCGGGTGTAGCGCGATGCTAATTGCACACCCATCATGTGAAAAAGTTATAGTAGCCCTATATCAATTTCAGTATTGTTTAAATTAATTAAAACAAATGACAAAAACAATAATTAAAAAAATCAAAATAAAGCAGACACTCAGTCAAAATCAAAGGCAAAAAGAAGCACTGTTTTAACTGAAAGTTTTTTCAGTAATACAATGAATCTCTTAAGTTACATATCAGATGAGATAAACTTACATACAATTATTTAGTTGTTGTCAATTATCCCATTTATCATCATCTCAGCTCACTTTGCGATTGTAATACTGTCTACATGAACCGATAATTTACAGCTGATTTATGAACACACAATTGTTAAAATTTTCATTTCCCTTTCCAATATATATTGTCAGAACATACTTAGTTGGTTATGATATAAAATTAAATAATAAACACTTTCGATTTATTAAAGATTATCTAATAATATACGATCATTTACTAAATACATGTACTTCTCGCCCTCAAGAGAGTTAAAAAGACAGAGAAAATTCAAAATACAAACAAGTGCAACTTAGGATTAATTGTTCCGATATATCTATTTTAATTTTGTGCACAATTGTTTTCAAAATTACATTAAAATCTATTTTCCTTAAACAAAAACCCAGCAATGGATAAATATTAATCGAATAAACTTACCTTTTCTCTTGTCAATCAGAAAGTCTTGTTGACATTAAGTGTTTCTTAGTCGCCATATTTTTTTTCCCATGAAAACAAACGTTGTTATGATCAGGATCAACGGAAGTTGATTTTCGGAACTCTCAAGAATTTAGAGTTCCGAATGAAAAACTGAAACAACAAAACACGGTGCGTCCGTGAAAGCAACTTTTTTGGACACTTTTTTGGACAAATCGTCGTGTCCAAGTTTTGTTGGGTACTAACCTGCAAATACCCAATTAGGGTGTTTTAAGCATATTCAGCGAAACTTCTTATTGGGTATACCCAATAAGCAAAAAGTACCCAATAAGTACAATCTTGGCATGAAAAATACCCAATAAATGCACTCTCGTGAACACGGACGGACGGACGCCGGACAAAATGGGATCAGAATAGCTCACTTGAGCCTTCGGCTCAGGTGAGCTAAAAATTACCACAAAACAGAAATAAAAAAAAATGTTTGTTTTTTTTTTTTTGAAAATTTAAACAGTAAATTTCATGTTTATAGTAATACCACATTCAAGTGAACACATACAATAAATACTAGTACTCTTTCAGTCTTTGGTAGAGATAATAAGCCTTTGAGGCAAAAGTCTATAAATATTTGATCATCAAAAGTAGCGATTATTTAAAACTTAATGACGGGAGAGAGAGAGAACTCTGATGGAGACGCTTGATGGTCCTGAAGTCTTTCAAGAGTGTTTGCAATTTTCTCTAGAGCTAAAACTTGTCTTTCCTCTAATTCCAACTTTCTCCTCTTCATTCTTATCAACTCTTCCATCCCTAAAAAAGGAAGAGCATTAGCAATATCAACCAATAAAGTCCCTTTCCTTTGTATTTCTATATGGATTTTTAAACAAGAGGCCCATGGGCCTTATAGGTCACCTGAGCATCATGCAACAACTTTCAAATGATTGAATTTGGTTCATGTTTTAAGCTAGATGCTATGGCATTCACAATTTTGAAAGAGGCACCATTGCTAATCATAATAACTATACACTTAGCAATTGTTTAGTTTGTTTACTTAATACGGATAAGCAGGGTATGGGGACAAAAAAAGTATGTGAACTAATCAGTAATATTCAGCAATAATCAGACATGAACCCCTTACCCTAGGTCTACACATTGCACAATTTCTGAAAAGGCACACTTGCTTATCAAAAATGTTTGATTAATAACAAGGAGCAGATTTCAAACAATTCATTTTCAGTATATAATTAAAGCCCCCCCCCCCTTCCCAATTTTGGTATCCCTGACCCAGGGCCTTGAAATTCAAAATTCTCGAAGAAGAGCCCATCCCATCAAAACTATGTAAATAGTTCATTCTGCTTATTACCCAGGAGTAGAGAAAAAGATTTTCATAGACGTAATGTATTTTCACCATATAATCATTATAGAGCCACATCCTAACACCATAACCCCTGACCCTGGGGCCATAAAATTCACAATTTTGGTAGAAGCATTCTTGCTAATCATAACAATGAACTTAATTACTGTACTTAAGCTTAGGAGCAGAGAAGAAGATTTTCTCAGATTTAATGCATTTTCACTATATAATCAATAGAGCCCCGCCATAACACCATAACCCCTGACCCTGGGGCCATGAATTTCACTGTTTTGGTAGAAGATTCAATGCTGATAACAATCATACCAACAGTTTGACTGCTTGATGTCTGGGAGTAAAGAAGAATATTTTTAAAGATTGCACTAATTTAAGTGGTTTTTGCCCCACCCCCCAGGCCCCAGGGGGGAAGGAACCACAAAATTCACAATTTTTGTGCCTCTTTACCCATAGATGCTATATGCCAAAATTGGTTGAAATTGGTTCAGTGGTTTCAGAGAAGAAGCTGAAAATGTTTAAATGTTAATGCACGACGGACGACGACAGACGAAAACGGATAGCAATAGGTCACCTGAGTTTACTCAGGTGCCCTAATAAAATATACTTGTATATAAAGAATGGTAAAGGTTTATATTGTCTCAAATTTGATTAAAAAATGAATTGTATAGTAAAATATGTGTTTAAGAAGATAGCATGTACTACATGAATTTTGGCTGTAAATGTACCATTTTGCTCAACTTTTCTCCTGCTAGAATCTTGACTCTTTTCCTTTGTTGACACTTTCTTCAAACTCTCTGATGCTATGAAGAAATTTTTTCTATAGTTAAGTGTTTAATATAGTATAATTAAGTTAAGTTGATAATTTAATTAAAAACAAAAAGTCTGTAAGCTAAAGCTCACAAGAAATACCCCCACTCTGATGTGAATGTACACTATCATATTAATATGTACATAGGTTCAGTTACGGGCATATAAATAGGAAAGTGACATCAGATTCATACAAAAATAAATCACACCATATGACAAGCTAGCCTCGACTAAGCATGTGCTAAAATTTTATTAACTGCAAAGAGTAGTTGCTGAGAAATTAACTGCGACCATAACTTTCAGTTTGTTACAGACAGACAGACAACTAGAGGGATCGACGGAGAGACACACAAGGGTTAATTTCAATAAGTTTTGATAAGAAAAGCTCACTTCAGCTAAAATGTAGGCTTACTTTGGTCAGCTGCCTCCTGCACTGGGTCAGGAATGATGTTTATCACAGATTCTGAAAAAAAATTCATAATCTATTTATTTATTAATTTATATAGGTATTAAATACATGTAGTTTATATTGGAAAAATGATTTTTTTTTAAATTTTAACAGGGACCTTTATTCTAGTATAAAGTATTTATATGGGTCCCTGATTTAAGTGTTAAATCAAAATCTAAGCAGCCAGTAATATTTAATACATTTAAAATAAAGTGCATAATTGCCACAGCATATACGAGGGCCGTTCAAAAATTACGCGGACTGTGCTATTATTTACTCTTACAGACGTCATATAGTTATAAAATTTCACAGAAATATGTATCTTAAAGATTCCAATAAATTTTGGGCAAAATTTCTGTAATTTAAAAAAATTCTACTAAAATTATCGGTATGTTGATATCGTTGATGGAGAGGTACGGAGCACGATAAAAAAATTGAAGCAAAAGCATGCGGATTCAAAAATTTAACTCATTGATTTTCTAAAATTCGCGATATTTTTCAACAATTTTCTCAAATGTACCTTTAAATTGTTTCGGACGTAATATTTGAAGTACTAACAGAGATATAGAGATTTTTCTCTGATGCGATTCCCGTGAAAACGACTGTGAAAATGGCGTCTCCTGAAATGACGGCGCACCACACTTTTATTAAAATATGTGTAATGCTCCAGATATCGGCAACATAGATTCAAAATATTCATAATAAAACATGTAGTAAACTAGGCTACTCGTGACATTCGCCCACAAATAGCAAATTGAAATTTTAGACAGTTAGACCTCTGTACAGAGGCTATACGGATGGACGGGAAGAAGATTATAGACGAAAAGTTAACTTTATCCAGACTGTAAAGAACGTGATTGAGAGTACCAATATCACACTATATCTCATAAGTAGTTTTTGGTTTTAAAACAAACAAAAAAAGAATATTCTTTACTTGTTTAATAGATTTTAAGCTTGACAATAAATAGTGTTTTTATGTTGAGTAGATAAGGTATCTCAAACTATACAAGTACTCAAGGGAAAATGTTGAGAAAATGAAAGCTCAATCACATATTTTTTATAATGCTTGTGACGTCGAAGATTTTGCTGCGCCGTGACTTAATGGTATGTCCTGAAAAATCACTCAAAATTAATACCAATTTACAACATTTTGATATGAAATTTTGAAGACCATATAAGTAAAGATTCTTTTATATTATTTGTGAAATTTTGCCCGATTATGTCGTCAAATATTTCTTCTGTGCAACAAGTCCGCGTAATTTTTGAACGGCCCTCGTTTCATCCATTCCATATTAATTATCATAAACAGTTTAGAATGCAATGAAGTTTAAAATGCAATGAAGAACATAGGTAATCAAATGTAGCACACAGTATATAGGAAATTTACGAAAGCCCAGAAGGCTCATTCGAGATTCAAGTTTCGAAATACGAGATTCAAAATTCGAGATTCGAAATTAGAGTTTCGAGATTCAAGATCCAGATTAACCAATCAAAAGGCTCACTCGAGATTCGAGGTTCGAAATACGAGATTCGAAATTCGAGTTTCGAGATTCAAAATCCAGATTAACCAATCAAATGCGGGTCAACATTTGATTACTCCCCTTTATTATGTTTTATCTATCAATAAATAGTCTTATTTATTTATAACAAATGAGTCATTTGATTAAATTACTATGCAAGAAAGAGTGTTATATATATTAGAAGGAAAGTGAAATAATCATTGGATTTTTAATCAGCAAGATATACTTAAATTTATATTATGACTTCTTAAATATTAAATAGAATGCATTTTGCATTGTTTACTTTTTATGAAGGGTTGTTGACATAATAATAAAGTCATAAATAGTGACTAAAGATTAACAAAATCCCCACCCCTACCTGCAACACCTGCCAATACTTCCCGACACTGAAAATGTTACCTAAAAAACTTGAAAGGCAATGTAGCCTTGATAAATAAAAACCGCGTTCGTTTTCCTAATGGAGGGAATACATAAAAATAAAGTTTTCAATTACTTATCTTCATCTAAGGCTTTGATTTCTTGAATTAATTAACAATTATAAATACAATACAGATCTCAAATATGAATTAGAATAAATGCAGCATTCATTTTATCTGATATCAAACAGTAGATTAGTCTAAATTAGCTGCAGAACTATAGCGTTATGATTTTATATTTTCTTCTCTGACCATAGCGTTATGGTAAAAGATTAAAATATACTCGGTTTTTATTTATCAAGGCTACATTGCCTTTCAAGTTTTCAACAATCCTTTATATAAAGAATACAATGCAAATATATATATATATATATATATATATATATATATATATATATATATATATATATATATATATATATATATATATATATATATATATTTCGAATCTCGAATTTTGAATCTCGTATTTCGAAACTTGAATCTCGAATGAGCCTTCAGGGCTTTCGTAGAAATTTATACTGCCTCGCTAGTGCGCTAGCTTTTCTAGTGATGCGGTAGAGTCTCCCTCTATTTCAGTCAAGTTAAGCAACGGCGAGCCTGTTTAATCCTTGGATTGGTGATGACCGCTTCACGTTACACCAAGATTACAAGGCTCACCTCAAAAAATGTTATCAGTTTCAGCAATGCAAATCTTACATATTTTCTTCATCCATGCAATTTTAGTCCATGTGTAATAGCTTATAGTTTTTTTTGTATGATTTAAAATGCTATGGTTTACGAATACATTTCAACCCTAATAATCAAGTTTATTCTATAAAGATTATGTATATATGTATGCATGTATTCTAACATTCTAAGACCCCTGTGACGTCATGTTTATTGCAATATTTATGCCATGGCATCTTAATTTAAACTGCAAGAGATCGATGTACCGAAATTGGTTGAAAATATCTCATTTTTGAGGCCTACTGTAAAAATATAATGCAGGATAAAACAAGAGGCTTATGGGCCACATCGCTCACATGAGTAACTTTGGTAATACAGTTACCAGATTTCCCATCTTGTTATACCTATTGTGGCCCCCAATCCCCTCCCCTGTCATGATTTTAATACTGTAGAATGTACCCTACAACAGGATGCTTACACATATATTTCAGCTTTCCTGGCCCAGTGGTTCTTGAGATTTTCCCTCTATAATTCAATGTAAAACTTGGATTCCCTATTGTGGCTCCACCCTACCCCCAGGGTCATAATTTTAACAATGTAGAATCTACACTATCTCAGGATGCTTCCACATACACTGTAAGTTTCAGCTTTCCTGGCCCAATGGTTCTTGAGAAGAAGATTTTTAAAGATTTTTATCTATACAATTCAGACGTGAGCTAAAAATACTTGATAACTGTCTTGAAGTATAAACGATATTTGGGCTCGGGTCGAAAACGTGAGAGGTCTTGGCAAGTCCCGTTTTCTAACATGTCTTCTTACCCTTGGCAAAATAATGCTTATACATGTATTTCAAGACCGAAACCATGTATTTTGTATGTTACTTAACTCAACTGAAAACATTTCAATCTGAATCTGTTTTACATTATAGTTTCATTTTACACATTTGAATGCTATTTTTGAATATATAAAAAAAACTATATAGCCATTAAAACATATATTCTAATTTACCTGATATATTTTCCTTAGATTCTTTGGGACAGCTATCCCCCATCTCTCCAGGACAGTATTGCATCTCTCTGGTTTTGTCTAAAATAAGAAATGAATTGGTTTGACTTCAAAGTATACCCCTTAGAAATGATGAATAAATGAAAAATTAATAAGCTAAAAGTTTAGACATGTTATTCTGAATATTCTCATCAGTCTCCTTGGCCTAGTCATTTTTGGGGGCAGAGGGGTGAGGAGTACTTGTTTTTTCATGGAATTCCTTTGTAAAAGCTTCCAAAAAGATTTCAACAAACAGCGATCTAATTAAAATTAGATGTTAGATCCACTTGCATGCTTGCTACTTTCACGTCATACAACATCCCAAAAGGGTCATGTCAGAGGTCAAATTTGGAACAACTCAAGGCTTATTCACTTCAACAGATATACAATATTTTGCAAGTAACGATTTGATTGGTTGAGAGAATTTAACCTCTGACATGCCACTCTGAACCATGAAAGACTTGAAGTGAGCTTCTCAAGTCAACTTATATGTTATACATATTTATATTTAAAACCTTTAAAATGTTTATAACCTTTCCTGTTCCCTGTGTCTATTCCATCCTCGATACCATGTATCGCCTCCCTTGGAATTGTGCTAAGCAGCTAAAATGTAAAGCAAATGTTAATTTTAAACATATTGTTCATATATAAGTATGATTATTTCAGATAAATTGATTCAGATTTTGAATAAAATGAATTTCAAATCTTCTAGTTTATTAATGAACCTTATTTGAATGTCTTGTTTCACACATAGGAAAAAGTACATGATGACTGTTACCAAGATTTTTTTTTTCATGGTGCTTTAACTGAGACCAACATTAAAAATAATTGGTTTGATGTACTTCAATTGACACACACACAAACCCCACATTTTTTTCTAGCACTTTGAATTACTAATATTTTTTTCTTCAGTTTCCAAAGAAATTTTACAGCTAAGGTATATATTTTCTCCAAGATGCTTTTCATTTGAAATTTTTTTTCAGCAATAAACATTTTTATGTCTACCTATCCATTGTGTAATGAAAGCATTAATAGATTCAGTTTGTTCCATAGGAACTGCAAAGCAAAAAAAAAAAATTACTATCTACCTAGTACCTACCCACTTTGAATGATATGGGTCGGAATACATATAACAAAAATATTTTTGATTATGGCCTGGTGATCACCTCTTTAATTGTGTTTTTTACACTGTGATATACAGTCACACCTGCTGTTACGGCCACCCTGAATCAGCGGCCACTCTCCATCAGTCCATGAGCGGCCAGTTTCAATTCCGCCCGTTCAATTTATCACTATATTTTAACTCATTTAAGCGGCCACCTGTCTAACGCGGCCAGTGGCCAGTGATTTTAGGTCTCGTGCGCTCAACATGCCTGTTTTCAGCGGCCATTTTGTCCGTTTTGTCACATGACTTCCGTCTGACACGTGACCTCGTATCCTCTTACGAAGCCAAACATGAACAGCTGATAATGAGTTAATGACCAATAATTGCAGGTGTAATTTGAATTCTGTCCGGATTTAATGATTTAATTAATATGATTAAATGATTTATTGTTAACATATGTTTTTTGGTGTTCTTAATATACAAAAGTTTTTGAATATTTTCATGAACTCAATAGACTACAATAATTACAATTTCGCCTGAGGTTATCAAGTCAAGCGGTCAGTCTCACGTTTTAACCTTTTATGTTATATAAATAAATATATATCTTGAAAAACTAAAAAAGCTTTACACAGCATCAGGGAAACGCTCAGTTGTTAGACCATTTCATGATTTTCTTGCACATGATGTAAATTAATTCTATATGGTTGTAAAATTAAATTACCAACACACACAAAAAAAAAACAACAACAGATTTCTTACAGAAATTCATGTAAAATGAAATGTAAGAAAATGGAGTTCATTTGACTTAAAATTTCCCAATTTTTTTTTAAATGTGTTGATATTGGATTGGATACATGTGAAAATAAATATACAACTGTGAATCGCAATTTTTTATTCATTGGTTTGAAACCTGGAATAAGTGGCCACCTGTCTTATGTGGCCAATTTGTCATTCTCCCACGAGTGGCCTCTTAAAACAGGTTTGACTGTACTTACAACCAACTCCCAAGGTTTCAATTGCACCTCAGTGAGAGGCCCTCCCCCGGTTTTCATCGCCTCTCTCTTTCTGAAGGCTTCCTTCTTTTTGATTGATGATTGGACATCCTGAACCGTTTTCTTCGTTTCATCTGTTGTTCTGGAACAGCCTATCGACACAGAATTCACCCTATGAAAAAAATAAAAGGACTGTGTAGTGTAAACAACAATGAATACTGTTTTGACATCTAATTTTCAAGTTGAAATTTAATACCAGTATCTGACTATCATTACCCAATGATTTTCATAAGAACTGCAAACGATATTGTATAACTACATTTATAGACTATAGACTGTGTTATGTCAGGTTAGGACACCCTAGTCCAGTCTACGTACAGATAATTAACCCAACATACAATGTACAATACGTAGGCAACAGCCCTGGTGACTGTTGTATGTGTGTGTATGTACGTTTTAAAAGACTGAATTATAAAGAATTATTCAAATTAACACATTGAATTTCAAGCAAAATGTCTTGACCTACTAATTTTTAACTGATACACTGTACATTACAAAATTAATAGAAATCACTCAGGAAAATAGGAACAATGTAAAAAAAAACTTAATAACACTAATTGGCTTCTATAGAAATAAATTTTGCACCATGAAATTCAGATTAATTAAACCACAAATATTGTGTCAAAGCCCTAAAAGTATATGGGGGGGGGGGGTAATCGAAAGTGGAGGGGGGGTATACCAACAAAAAAGGTAAATCCCAATTCTCAATGCCTATATAAGGTCAATTTTTGTTTTTGTAACCCCCCCCCGGTTCCGATGCCAATGAGCATATTGAAATACAGCGTAATCATTTATAATCATGTGCTTTCAAACTCTGTGGCTCGGATTAAAGAATCGCAATTTTACTCAAAAAAAAACACAACAGAGTCATATTAAAGTCAATAGTCAGAGAGAGAGAGAGAGAGAGAGGGAGAGAGAGAGAGAGAGAGAGAGAGAGAGAGAGAGAGAGAGAGAGAGAGAGAGAGAGAGAGTTTATGGTTTTAGAAGGTGCAAATGATAAGCCTAACGATAGTTTAGAACTTACTTGGTAGTAATCGCCTCCCAGGCTTTTTTCTTAGAATCCGTGGTAAGCCCGGGAGAGAGCTTGCCACGGATTACTTTTACTGATGAGGCGTAAGCCTCGACCAATACCTCCATTTCGAGGTCTGTCTGTTTACGTGGCTTTTTCTCAGTTTTCTCCATTGTAATGATTGTTGCAGACGATCGCGGAAGTAGCATTGGGCATGCGCAGCATCCGTTGCTAATGCACTTTACAACCTCTTTTTAGAAGAGTTCCAGTCGTAAACTACGTGGAAAGTTACGTCAGGATCTACGGTTACGGGCGCAGATACGACCTTTAGTAAAACGCTATCTACGCACACGTAAATTCAGTCGTAAAGTCTACGTTTACGTCTACGTCTACGGCAAAATTTACGACCTTTAGTAAAACTCGGTACTGTCTCCTAGCAGTGCAGGAACAGCGCGCTAGACCGCTCGGCTATCTAGGCAAGTTAAAAAACTTGCTTTCGATGCCGATGGAATCCTCGCGGCGCTGCCCTACACTACACGGTCATTGAGAACAGAAGTGAGATACAGTTATTTGGACATTAGTTTTAACAGAAGATTGTTACCAATACATGTTGTAATGAAATTAATTATTATTTATAAAGCACATTTTTACAACAACTCTTAAGCTAACATAACTGCCCTAAGTGAAAAAATATTAATATAGAAAGCACAGAGAAATTCACTTTTACTGTTAAAACTAATGTCCAAATAACTGTATCTCACTTCTGTTCTCAATGACCGTGAAGTGTAGGGCAGCGCCGCGAGAATTCCATCGGCATCGAAAACAAGTTTTTTAACTTGCCTAGATAGCCGAGCGGTCTAGCGCATTTCGTTTAAAAAGTTTATTATCAATTAATCGAATCTAAATTACTTTGGTATCAGAATCACGGTATTAAGTAAAAAAGAAAATTCCAGCTTGGTATCACAACACTTGTTTAACAAATGTATAGAACATCCGTTATAACGTACTTATAATGTAATTTATAAGATGTTAACAAAATGGATGCATATTTTAAACAAAAAATCTTCCGCATAATATTTAAATCAATTGAGACTTGATATTTATTACAAGTAATAAATACATATATATGTATACCTATCCAATAAGACGAGTGAACACAACCTAACCCTTCCTTGTATTCATTCCACGTTCTGTTGAAATCCGTTGATCCGTCAACACGCTTCTGTATAACCTATTGTATAAAGAAAAAAGATTGTCAATATCTTTTAATAAAATTTGTATTCATATAATTCCATGCAGTGATTAATTACTAATTACACTGACCGTCCACCCTCCATCTTCTGTATCCATATCACAGTAAACGTCCACTGAACGGTTGTCCCATGGATGAATCGTATAAACACCAGATAAAGTAAACCCATCAGCAAGCAAACGTTTACAGTCCATCGGGCGAATGTTCTCTAAATGTTATATAGAAAAATCAATAATTATTTTTATTTAGACACAAAATGCAATATATAACAGTAATATAGAAGAAAGAAGTAAATATTTATTACAATAACATATCAATTTAACGTATCAACATCGGATGAACCTTTACCATTCAGTCATCTTAATAGTGAAAAAGGTCGATGAAGGTAAGTGAATAGTAGATATCTGCTATTCAGCCCCCTTTCAGTCACTTTTATGTTATGTGAAAGGCAGAATTTCCTTCTATGTAATTTTAAAGATTAAAGGTAAAAGTATTTTCTATATTATATTGCATAATATATTTCTTTTTCAGTTTTGTTCAAATGTGACTGAATATTAAAAGATTACACAATCTTGAATCATTAATGGTTATTTGAACTTAAATTTTTTATGACCTCATTACAGCCCCTGAGCAATGATGCAATTCTTATAATTATCAAACCATATTAATTATAAATACTACTATATAATGATAATTAAATAATTTTTGTCAAATTACTAAAAACATATAAATGAAAATCCCCTTTCGAAACTGTGATTACCCACCATGAGTCGGGTGGATTTTGTGGGATGGGGTGAAGTTTGTGAGATATGATGTGGTCTATGGGATGGGGTGGGGTCCATGGGATAAGGTGGGGTCCGTGGGATGGGGTGAGGTCCGTAGGATGGGGTGAGGTTTGTGAGCTATGATGTGATCTGTGGGATAGGTGGGGTCCGTGGGAGAGGGTGAGGTCCGTGGGATGGGGTGAGGTCCGTAGGATGGGGTGAGGTTTGAGAGCTATGATGTGATCTGTGGGATTGGTGGGGTCCGTGGGATAGGGTGAGGTCTGTGGGATGGGATGAGGTCCGTGGGATGGGGTGAGGTTTGTGAGATTTGTGATCTGTGGGATGGGTGGGGTCCGTGGGATAGGATGAGGTCCGTGGGATGGGGAGAGTTTTTTGAGATATGATGTGGTCTGTGGGATCGGGTGGGGTCCGTGGGATAAGGTGGGGTCCCTGGGATATGTTTGAGTCCGTGGAATGAGGTTGGCTCCGTGGGATGAGATATAGGTTTCGGTTGATATGATCGGTGAGGTCAATAAGCACAAAAAAATAATCCTTAAAAAATTCGGTTCTCTTTATGCATAAAATGGCCCTGTAGATATACCAATTGATTGGTTAACATGTGTTGTTTAATTTGAAGTATTAAAATTAAAAAAATGATGTAAAACTGGCGTAAAAATTGAAAACCCATGATTTTTGAATGATTAGAATTCCTTGCATAAAAATCATTAAAATAAATTTTCTCATATTCATTTCTATAAGCTAACTGTGACGCCACAAATATGTACATGTTCGGTATCGTCATTAAAAGTTAAAGAAGACATCACTTTTCACAGGATTTTTTTTTTCGGATACTGTAATATTGTCCACAAAGATTTTTATATAGATGATTTTTAATTGAATGATAAATATGCATAAGGTAACCAATTAATTAAGGACAGATGATACAAACAAAGAGGAAGATCAAAATGACAAAAAATTAGCAATATCACATAGGCTGATTTTTACCATTAGCTTTTCCTAATAAAATTCACCTGGCTAGGTATATTTTTTTAAAGTCTAAATTACACGTTTAGCACCATGCTAACATATTCTGAAATTAGTTTTCACCTGTAAACCTTTACTGAATGTGAATTTTCTATATTTGTTTTTTCATTGAAATATTACTTATATTTTCCACCTCTTTTTCATATTCCAGTTCTTAGGAGAAAAAATTCTTTTTTTCTAAACTTGTGACATGATATTAAATCTTTTTCAAAGAAAAAAATTGTTTGTTTCATCTGTCCTTAATAGAGAAATGCATCAAATACATGACGTAACATTTCCAGAATGATACTCAAGCCATATTTTTGCCTGATCTATCAAAGTTATAAGGTCACTTATTCAAGCCAGTTTAACACCTTTTAGGAAACATTTAAGAGCTCGGTTCACTTTGTGCATGAGATGGCCTTGTAGATACATATATACTAATTTATTGATTAACAATTGATTTTCCATTTGAAGCAATAAAATAAAATAGAGAATTAGTGCTTTCATTTCCTATAAAATATGTTCATCAAAAAGTCTAGGTCTGAGAGAACAGATGTTATGGAATTGCAATGTTTGTATACTTTTAGGTGAACAGGTATAATTGAATACTTTCAGTGAAGATTTATAATATGAGCGCACTCTCCTATTTAAAATATGAAACATGTCTTTTAATCCCCAGAAACAGTTCTATATTCTACTAGTTCCATGTTTTAGATCAGATCTATATTGAATATTAAAAAAAATTGTTTTGAAAATTGGCCGATTTTGTAGATATTTCAGGATATGAGGAAATTGACATAATTCCTGACGTTATAATGCATTGCCTGGCCAGAACATTACGTCATTTTTGATAGATACGCTGTCACCAAGGTTATAACCAATGCATTGTTAACTAAAATTATGCATATACAGTTTTTCAGAAATTCACAGGGCGAAATTAGGCAAAGATGAACCTTGTTCTTTGCAGGACACAATAAGGCTAAATCCGTACATTCTTCTTGCCAGTTTCCTTTAGTAATGTACAAATTCTAACAGTAATTTGCTTCATTTTCCGTTACCTTCGCTAAGCAATAAATCATACGGATTCAAGATCAGAAGTGTTTTGAATAAACAATTGAATAATAGATTCGATAGGTTATTTCGATAAATCAATTTTACTTTAACATAAGTTTAATATAAGCCATTTGAAGGTTTATGAAAAATATTTATTGAAGTCATAAAAGCAGAAAAATAGTAAAAAAATTTTTTTTTTAATTCTATCCTCATCAGAAACTATGCAAAAGTTATGCATTAAAGTGAACTAATTCATATTAGATGAAATATGGGTAGTTTAATCAATTAAAATTATTCTGAATGATGATCTTTGTTTCAATTGAGGAGAGTTGGATATAAAGATATAAGTATGAATTATTAACTAAGATCAATTTCAAATATTTTTTTCAGCCAGCTCACCGATGTGACATTGCATAAAAAATACGGCAAAAAACATCCTTTTTTAAAATCGATCCAAAGAATTTCTTTTCTCTTGATGAGAAGGATATGGAGATAACAAACAGTATTCAATCTCAAAGTCCATAAAACAATACAAAATAAGAGCAGGGCAAACAGGACATCCGAAACATCAGAGGTGAGATCAGGTGCCATGGAGGAGTGAGCATCCCCTGCCGACCTGTCACACCCGCAGTGTGCTCCTTGTCATGATTAGGAAATAACGGAAATATCTGTCGTCAATTCAGTGTATAAGTAATAGACTAACAATTGGTATGAACAACGTCATTCAGCATTTGATTCAATGATAAATTGTATTTGCTGACCAGGTCATTATGTCGACCAGAGAACTTACGAAATGATGACTTTTAACGAGACTGCTTATATCCTTGTTTCATCAACTTGCTTGATAATAATTTACCTCTTTTTAGAAATTGTTCATACGTAGAGCATGCTCTTGCATATCGAATCAACTGAGATATATACATGTATACTCCGTATAAAGGTGATGAAGGTGTATTGCTGCATAAGTAAGGGAAGTTGACGATTGAAAAGTTGATGTCATCACGTTTATCATATAGCTTGGTTGTTAGATTACCATTAGTGTCTTTTTCAAGTAAAATATCCAACTATGAAACAGAAGTGTAAGACTCTGTGGTATCTTATCTCAAACTCACCAGGATATATCGTATCAACGTAGGAGTGGAAATTACCATTGTTAATTGACAATACGTCGTCGATATATCTAAATGTCGAGTTGAAGGTCACAGCAAGTGTTTTCTTCTCTTCATGCATAAGATGATACTATGTATTTATTTTACGTATAATTATTTTTTTAAACTCTCAGTTTTCCTGCCTTAATTTTACATGCATAATAATACCCGATATTACAA